GGTCCCGCGTGCATCCATAACTCAATAGTGTACGCTGTGGTATTTACCATTTGTTAAATAGTGTACGCTGTGGTGTTTACCATTTGTTTTATAACATAACATTGATACATTGTAGCTAAAGAGTTCCTTTTTATTTAACGAATCTTACGCGACCAGAAAAAAAACAAGCGCGCGCGGAAAAATAGTATTTGCATTTGCTCACGTCAGCAGCGTACACCCATGGGCAAATGGGGGACGCTAAATTTACCAATCAGAGCGCGCGCTTAACTTTGGTTATGTGATAATAATATAAAATGTTAAAATGAAGCTTCGAATCATTGCCGATCGTACCCAGGGGCTCTGAAATGGTTTTAAAAATTATGTCATTGCTTGAACATCTGATTAAAGAAAATGTAAGAGAAAATGCATATTTAATGATTCGATAAATATCATTTCTTATCCTACCAACACAGTTGGTATTTCCTGAAAGCTCATATCCTTTATGGCAATGGCAAACGTATCCTCCGTGAGTGTTTGTGCAGAACTGGTTACATGGACTATTGATACACTCATCCGTATCTGAAAAGGAAGCAGTTAACTCAGTTACATCGATATACTTTGAAATGATCAGAGAGAAGTTTGTAAAATACTATTTATTATATTTTACGCTATTACATCTAGCCTGAGTGTAGTGTTTTTTTCATTACATGATGTATCACCAGTCAGTACTTTGTCCAATAAGAACTGAAGCTATCAACTTTTTCTTTGCTGTGAAATTTTGTCACTTGTCACGTTTTAGTGGCAAGTCAAAACCTATATGTAGGTATTTAACTGATAAAATGTTTATTCAAGGCACAAATAATGTTTATTCATTTGTGATATCTGGACAGGCTGGCCAGTTCAGCTTAAAAGCTAATTTAAATGAGAACCTGTGTAGACAGTAACAAGACCACAGCAACGGGAGGTACGTTAACAAGCACAGAGAAGATACAGAAGATGGGGCCTACGGTTGATCGTCCGATGTATCTAGACTAGATTGCCGAACCATTTACGGATATCAGAGCAAAGGCAGCACATTCTCCCAAGTTATTTTAAGACCTTGAGCAAAAGACATTTGAAAATTTCGGGAAAATGTCTAAACTGATCGTGCTCGAAAAGTGGATGATACATACCTGAACATCTTGGGTTGGAGCCAGTCCATCCGCCTTCCTGGCATGTTCTGGACGATGATCCCCGCATAGAATATCCTGGGTCACAACTAAACGAGATTGTACTTCCAGCGTTGTAATTGGAACCAGACTTTGAGCCGTAAAGTGGTGCACCGATTGGTCTACAGTTTGTCGCTAAACAGAAATAGCATCATGTAAAGCTCTCTTTAGTTAAATTGGCAACATCTCTACGACACTAGATGAATGTAAAAAGTCAATTTCTGTCCATTTGTTTTGCTATGCTGTCCAAGCGTAAACAGTTCACAGTTCNGAATACACGTTGAACAGAAAGCGGAAAACCTGCACATAGAGAAATAACTATTCCGCAACACAACAAGGTTATATGAAAATCATATCTATGTTATATCAAGCTGCTCGTTCCGCGTTATTTGCAGTTGTCTTTTTGTAAACTTAAGACGTGAGCTCCATACACTCGGTGACAAACTTAGGAAGAATATTATTGTAAAAAAAGTTCGAATATTTATACTTACGCAATGGACAACCATTTACGTCTACTCTCATCGTTATATGGCCATGCCATTCCTGTGGTCTGAATCGAAGATACATGGCTTGGAACAATTTGACCTCATTGCGGACCTCAGAATTGCGGTCGCTGTTGCCATTAAGGGTCTGTAAGATTCAAATCTGCTTTTTATTTATAAGAAAGAACAGAAAATGCTCAAACGATTTCAATTTTTTTTTCAATATGGTTTATTCATTTGTTTTTTCTGCCTTTTTCTGATACTTTTTTCTGTTGTTGTTTTTCTTACTTTTCTTTTCGTTTTTCTTTTGTTTTTGTTTCTTTATTTGTTTGTTTTTTTTTTTATTAACACCTGACTTGATCTTTCATTCCCAGTTTAGCATTGGTGGAAACTGTTCACTCCTTTGGTTTCCTTTTTTCGAGTATTTTTTTCTCTTCTACCTTATTTTCTCGTAACAGGAAGATAAGGGTTCGAAACCCCTTGTGGCCTGAACTTTTCAGCTCCCTTTTTTCTAAAATCACTTCAATTCCAGCCAGCGCTCAACATCGAGGATCATTTTCTTACTTAAATTACATTGAATGGTACGGAATTGTGTCTTGCATCAATCCCTTAGCTTCTAAGATTCGAGTTTGTAAGTCTCCCTCCAGACCGCTATGAATTTCCTTGTAAACAAGACAAAAGAAATGAGTGCTTTTTTATATCAACACTCATTATTCTTATCATCTGTTTGCAGGTTGATATATTGAAATCATATAGAGGTGATACGTGATCACCACTTCTGTTATTGAATGATTCTTTTGGTAAATATTCGATTCCTCGTCAGCAAACGAGTCATTTTTACGTACATCAGGATAGTAAGTCCAAGTTGATCCATCGCTGCTGTATTCAAGTTTGTACTTCGTCACCCACTGGTCAGCATCGCTTGCTCCCTGGGTTATCACCCCTGATATCTGCAAGACCTCGCTAAATTTGATTTGGAGGTACTGGTTACCATTGTTGTCTTTGGCAGCCCAACCGCCGTTCTCCTCGATCTGTCCTGCTGCATTTTGCTGAGTTTGCGCATCTAGACGACCGAATTTGGCGGCGTGGGTGGCAGCATACTCCGATGATGCCGACATATCAGAGTCGGGGATGCGACTGTCAGCTCCTACACCAACACTGTTAAGGCAGTCTGAAAGAGGGAGGAAGATTGTTAAGGTAGTCTGCAAGTGGGAGAGATAAATATGAAGTACGAATTGCACTCATCCTTCCCTGAAGTTTTCCGTACAAAAATTTGTGCTGGCAACATCAGAGTGAAACTCATAGTGTTAGTGGTACTTTTTGCGGTGTATTACTTCAGACTTCAAGCTTAAGTTGACTAAATTGCAATAATTAAAACTATTCTTGATGAGTACAAAATAATTTGGTTTTATCAACTGAGTTGATGAGGTAAAGTTGCCACCATAAAGAGTTTCTTGAGCTCACACTCCGAGTGTTAGCCCATCGTCAGAGCGAATGGAGAAATTTCGGAGCAACGCTATTAGTAATGACATGGTTACGAGAAAAAAAAATTTATTAGTAGAATGAAAAGCGTTCGTTGACACCGTGAGGATTAAGAGTGACATTTTGAAAAATAACGTTTTGGTTCGATAGAAACTTTCCCACTTTATTCATGAATAGTTCAAAAAACTGATAACTGATAAAGACCACAGCATAACACAAAAAGCTACCCAACAATAGTTTTGGTGACGCTAACAGAAAGTTTAAAAAAAATGCACCACCATTGAATTAAAATTAATATATATCCGGGCTATTAGTGATTTGCACTTACTCAACTCAAAGAATCGATAATTCGATGCACTTGCAAGTCCATTGTTATGAGATGACTTGCTACTCATGGCACATCTGTTGGTTGAGTTGTCAAACTCAAAGGATCTGCAGATGAACGAAGCTTCTGACAAACATGACGAAGCGCAGGCTTCCGGGGAGGTGTTCTCCACCGTTTTATCGTCGCTCCCAGATATATATGAGTTGTAAGTCAGAGAGAATTTTCTCTGAGCGGCGTTGACTAAAAGAGGGTGAAAAGACTAGTTCTCAATAAACCGTTTTAACAAGGAATCATTTTTTATAAGACTTGCATAAAATCATAGTCTGTCTGATTCTCAACTCATGAACAACGCATTCAGTAGTATAACATCTCCCGAGCCTTTTGCCTACGTCCCCAGAGGTTATTCCGGTTTTCCTGGTGAGAATTACTATTTCCTCACTTCTATGACGGTTCGCCGTTACCCATTCATAATCCTCCTATTTCACTTTAAGAAACAACATATCTAATTTAATTTAATTTAATTTAGTCCATTTCACTGCATTAAGTGTTGCAGTGGGGTCGGACTAGAAAGGAACATAGGAACCATTCTTGCTAATCCATTGTTGTCAACAGAAATTTATTTTCGGTAAAAATTTTCACGACTAACGGTTAAAAAAAAAATTAAAAAATCAACAGTTAAAACTGTTAAATGTTTTGGGCGTTGTACGGCTATCGATTGACCCCATTGAGACTCTCGCTAAATTGTCCCTCGACACTATGATAAGTTTGTCTAAACTTCAGTTGCGGAATAGAGATATTGAAAGAAAGAACATAAGCCAACTTTATACTCACAGTCACAAGCGTATGACTTGTCGGTTATATGATATTCTCCGTCTAGGTTTTCTCTGAAGTCTCCCCAAGATGCAACGTTTCCTTTGACATAATCACAGCTGTATACAAGATTATAAATGTCTGTAGCGGATAGGACGCTGTCAAAGATGTGCAACTGACTAACATCGCCGATAAAGTTTTCTTCGGTATTGAAGCCACCCCCCAATTCATCTTGTTCTTGACC